CCATCCAATTATCTGACCCGGGCCCGGGGCAGATAATTGGTCTAGCTTTTTACAGCGCCACGGCTTCCACAGATGAAATATTTATATATATTTATTGTCAAAGCATTTAATTTATTCATTGCTATCGGGATGTTAAGAGCATTCCATGGAATATAACAACAAGTGTTTCTGAAGTGAATTACCTACCCCACCTTTAACTGGGTAGGATGCATTGTTTACCTGGGACCAGTTAGCTTAGCAGAAGCCGTTTTGCATGTTATGATTGATCTGATTAAGACCTTTGTTCAGGGTTTTGGTTTGAATAAAACAGGAAATTAGCCGACAGTGTTCTACTTATCTTTGGGAGCTATCACTAGCTTAATTAGGTAGCTGCCTAGCAACAGTTAATAACATTTGCTAGTGACAGTTTTTTTTAGCAAAGCATGCTTTTGTCTACCTTTGTTTTGAATCAAGGAACCACTATTCAAACAAGTTTCAAAGCCACCATTATCATAAGCATAGGCATAGTGACAGAAAAGGGTGGGGCTTTTTTCACAGTTCATTCTGATTGACATTACATTCACTACTCATGCATTCAGTAGAGTCTATAACCCACTATATCTGAACGAGTCAGACATCATAAAGCATGGTAGAGGTTATGCAGTTGTAAACCTGCCTTCACTCTTTGACATTGGATGAAATATTATATGGGCAGGTCAAACACTACTTGATATTTCTTTCTTTTGAAAGCTTTTTTACAATCTTGGGATGATTGCCAAGCCAAGCAGACCTAATCTCACTCAAGTGGGTCCTGCTGATTATTATACAGTAGATGAAAGTATGTGTCCTCTTTGGCTTCAGACATCCACTGGACCCGTGCAGATTGTACCAAGTAGTGTTGACAGGCGGAATCACCTGCATTACAGGTTCAGCAAGTTCATTTTACTGTGATTCATTGGACATATTGACAGATATTATGGACTAATGCCAACACCGGTAAATCTAATGGAATATTTGTGTGTGTGGACTTGTGCCAACAGCAGAGAGATCCATGAGAGAAGCCAAACACCACACATACAAACAAACACCTACACACACGATACACGCACGCATAACAATGGGAGGTAATACTTTACGACATTTACCAGTTATTCTGATGCCATATCTGTTCATAAATAACATCTGGAATTTATATCTAAACAAGCGTACAAACACACACACGTTTGTGCTAAGGTGAAATCCCATGTGCAAAACTCTTTAATGCATAATGTAATAGCTTTAAGTTTAAGGAAGGAGAGGGTCAGCATAAAGACTCCAATCTAGTCTTTTTAATTACAAATGAAGAGGGTAATTAATATCCTTCACATGTTTCATTCATTGACATAACTCAGGTCTCTTAAACATTTTAATGTCGTAGTTGTACATTGTTTGGAAGTATTCTTCACAAAATAACATGCCAGACAATGTCAGCATAGAAATTGAAACCTAATTGGGATACATGTATATATTTGTCTGCACTTTGGCCCTTCCGTCCTACATAGCTCCATGCCGTGAAGGCCCTCTCTCTGTGTCCCTGGATGCTGGGTGTGGTCAGCATTGGCTGGGCAGGATGTTCAGATATAAACAAGTGAGCTACTTTGACTTTGCAGAGAGACATGTTGGATTAGAAGAATGGACAGACAAACAATAAACAACAACTGTTATCTTATCTCCTTCGGACAGACTGCAATTATGTAGAGAAATACATTTTCCATCATCTTGTTATCCTCTAGCTCCATCCATAAAGCACTTACTCCTTCATCTACTAAATCACTCTGCTCTTGTTCATCACTTAGGCTCACTCTTTCATTTCTACGTGTTTATCCCTCTTCTATACTTCCCTAACTGAGTAAAAGTGTGCACTTCACTCATGTAAATGCATGCATCATCCTCGGCAATTAGAGCTTGCTAATGAACAATTAAACAGTGATCATGTACTTTTAGCCTTAGGGACACATTAGTACTGTAATTGAGGCACTGTACATACCCCTAAGTGTTCTGTTATTCTGTTAATACGCATCCTGCCTTTAAAAAAACCTAATTAACCTTAATTCTTAATCAGCTCAGCTCGCATCAAAGGACATCGTAGTCGAGAGCGTTTTACTCCTTTGTTGTTGAGAGGAGATTAGCGACGCTTATTTAAATTCATGTACTGTAAATAGATTGGTTAAGAGAAGAAATTGGAAAATGAGGTGTTATGGCCTGGAGGACCTTGAATGATGAATCGTTTCAGCATTTTTTTATTACTCAGCTAATCTTCTGTGTGCACTATACCCTCTGAAATAAGGTGGTAGAAATAGAGGGATTAGATTTTTTACCTATTTGAAGATTAATAATGTCTTTTAAAGAGGTTTCCCGTCCTCTCTAACCCAGCTTCAGCTATAGCTTGTGGCTCTATGAGCGGTGCTATCGCCAAAATACTAATGTCAACATGTAGTTGTTTTTGCAGGTATATTAAAAGTGCCCTGTCTTAACTCAGCATGTGAAGATGCTATATATATCTAATTGGAGATAAGGATGATTTCATTGGTTTTTGGTCATTAAAGGTGGGGTAGGTCATTTTGGAGAAACCAGCTCGAGTGCGCTAGAAAATACACAACCGGAAAAAATCTGCCACTTCCTTACAGAGCCCCTCCTCCAACACACACGGACACGCACATGACCAATGAGGGCACGAGATAAGTTTGTGCACAGATGGAAGGCTGACAGGCAGGTAGGCCATCCAGTTATTTTACCCGGGCCGGCTAAAATGATTGGTCGTGCTTTTTACAGATGACATTTTTAATGTATTTATTGTCAAAGCATTTAAGATATTCATTGCTATCGGGATGTTAAGAGCATTCCATGGAATATAACAAAAAGTGTTTCTGAAATACATTACATACCCCACCTTTAAGTTCAGTATGTCAACCTCGTGGTACTAAATAAAAAGTCATAAGATTACCAAAGTCAGTATGTTATCTGAGGTTATTACTGGCTGTATTAATGCAGTCAGCAACGGTGTTATGTGCCTAATGATTATTCTAAACAGGCAGTTTAATCCTCTGGCTGCAGTATTTCCATACACTATGCCATGTACATGTAGCTTAGGAAGAAAGAGAAAGGTTCAGAGAAAGCGTGTTCCCTTTAAAGTCTGTACATCAAAGCATTATTATGCATTTCAAACTGTTATTAATGTATGTGTGTGCTTTCTTTTATAAATCCTTTCTACATTCGTATTTTTCTTTATATTTCAATAAAAACACAATTGCATGTCTGGTAAACAAACACACCAGACCGTTTGCAAAGACGGACATCCCTTACTGTGTGTACGCTGAGTGTATTGTTCACTCCTCCCAGGTTTCATCGAGCTCATTTAAAACACATTAGGCTGTTGGAGCGCTGGCCTGGCGATGAGAGAGAAGCCTGTCGGCTTTTAATGCTGTGCGGGGGCCGTCTGGTCGCCACACTCTCTCATCCCAGCCATCAGGAAACCCTCTCCAGCCTGATAAGGAACAGAACATGCCGCTCCATGTGCAAAGCTCCTGCTGACATTTTCCCAGCTAGCTACTGCCTGTGATTCTCAATTCGCAAGCTACATGTCTCAATTTACCTTCCTTCTTATTTCTATGCCTAGAGACTTACAGTATTCTACCATTCATAGGGCAAACCTACCTAAAATCAAATGTTAAGCCTAATCCACCCTTAAGTGTTAAAAATATAAAAAAATCCTAAAATGTAACTTAATCATATTAATCACTGTGAAACTGCTGCAAGTATGCTAGACAGCTGGAGGTCACATCTCCCCTATTGTACATCAGACTACAGCGTAACCCTTTATGATGTTGCTAATTGCATCCGCAAAAAAATGAATGATCTTGTATATTAAACTGAGATCTGGGATGATGTTTGCACTCAGGTGATCCATCGGGCCACGTGCAGCTTTTCCGTCAGATTGAAGAGTCTCTGATGGTGTTTGGCTCGTTCTGCAGGGTCCTTGAATGAGCTAATGACGCTACCCTGTGCTGTGCAGACGGATATTCTGCTGTGTGCGTGGGCATAGACTTTAATATGGCTATGGCTCCTCATATTATTAAAGGTATATGGAGCTCTCTCTATAAATAGACCAGGTGATTTTGGAACCAGACAGCCTGCACAGACGCTTCCACAGGGACTCATATATAAACTCACTGGATTGATTTAGAAAAAGGTTAGATTTACCTAGAAATAAACAAGACCCTGCAATCTCCTGGAGATAGACGCATGAGCGGCTGGTTCCTGATGTGACTAGTTCCCAGACAGGAACTAAGCATTAAGCATGTCTCTTTCCTAGACAGTGCATGTGTGCTGGTGCAGTGTATGTGTGTGTCAGCACTAACTCCATCCTGGGGAGCTCCATCCATCATTATGTGGAAGAGCCATATCGTTGCCAATAGGCCTCTCCACTCTTCCAGTCCATTCATTTTCCATCTAATAGGTCCACTGTAAAGATTGATATAGTCCACATCCATATAACATACAGCAGACCTTCAATTTCAGCCCTGGCTCAGCTGCTGTAGTGTAGGTGAAGTGGCCATTATTCATTAAATGTCACAGATTTGGTCTACTGATATGAAATCATTTTGGATTTTTTCAGGATGTAATGAAGCAGGTGTTTGAAAGGAGTTCACTTACTGAAACACCCCAGGATCTAATTTTGCACTTTCAACATTCGGACCAATCTGTGAGATATCAGTATACTGTGTCTGATTAAGTTGTAGTGACAACTTAGAGTCAGTGATGTTCTTGCAGCAGCACTGCGTAGGCAGAGGTAGGGTCGCTGGGTTCATTGTATGCAGGAATTTTCTGATGAGACTGAATTTATTCTCAGTCTGTTGAGTTTTTTTGTTGTTGTATGTGTTTCTTTCACAAACCATTTATCGATGTATTGATTTTCTCTGTGTGCGCTGCATTCTGCTTCTGAAGTAAACTCTGCTGCTGTAACATATGTTTGTGTGTTGCAGGCGTGCTGCAGGTCAGCGGGATGCATGTATACACATCTGGGGATGTGGAGGCAGTTAACGGGACGGATGTCCGTCTAAAATGCACATTTCAGAGTAGCGCCTCCATCAACCCCAATTCCATTGTCATCTCCTGGAGCTTCAGACCCCTGAAACCAGGCAGAGAAGAGTCGGTGAGTGTCTGTATGTTTGTGTTTGTGTGAAAAAGTCAGATTGAACTTTCGTCGTTGTGTCAGGGAACATCCACCCCCTCAGCTAACTGAAAGAGGAGTCTGTGAGTCATCTGAGTCTCTAGAGCGTCCAAGCCAGCCTGTGTGTGCTATGTGTGTATGAATATTGAGAAAAGATCAAAAAGATGCAGCAGGTCTGGGATTACATCCTTCTCTCTCTGTCTCTCTACTAATCCATTTCCATTTGTAGGTGTTCCACTACCAGCAGAAACCATATCCTCCGTTAGAGGGCATTTTCAGGAAGCGTGTCAGCTGGGCCGGTGATGTCATGGGCCGAGACGCCTCCATCATACTTCAACAGGTCAAGTTCACCTACAATGGTACTTACATCTGCCAGGTTAAGAATCCGCCGGATGTCCACGGCACGGTCGGAGAGATTCGACTTCGTGTCGTCACCACAGGTCAGCACTTTTTTCAGAAAAGAACATTTTTACATGAAAAACATAAATATAATGGTGTGTCTGAAAACATAATTTCAGCTCTCACGGATTTAAGCCAAAAAAGAGACAACAGCACAATACCCAGAGATGTATAACTATTGACTAGATATTATACATTGTCCTTTCTTATGTATCAATATTGATGCAGACAACAACATGTGAACAAGACAAAGTCTACGGTCTAACAACTGTGTGAAGCTAGTGTGTAGGCCAAGTGATGCTGTGAGCTAAATGAAAATGTTAAAATTGACATTGTAATATGCTCAACATGTCAATGATATCATGCTGATGTTTAGCAGTTATATCATGTTCACCATTGTTCAGAGTTTTAGAACGCTATGTTTCCAAATTAGGGCTACGCCCAACGTGCAGCTGAGGCAAAAGGGAATGTAATTATCTCGCTAATAGTGAGTCATGAACCAAATAATTCAAGGAACTTTTGTTATTTTAACCTGATGATGGCACTATAGGAAAAGACAGGAGAGTTGTTGCAAATAATCCTCTGGGGGGGGGACATGACTCTTTTTACCGTTTGGTTACAATAGTCGATGAGTCATTTTATTCACAACCCCTGTCCTCATACGGTAGGATAGATACTTGGAGAAACAAGTATATTTAGTACCAAAAATAAACTTTGACCTGTTGCCGGCCCTGAAGGAATATTAAGGGTTCAACTCATGGCTAGGATTCAACCTCTGGGGACCCTCAATGTTTGTACAAAATTGATTGGCAATCCCTTCAATTATTTGTTTATATTTTAACATAATGTATCCCATGGTGGAACTAAAGTTAAGGTCAGGGGGTCACCAAAGTCACAATTCTTGAATGTCTGCCCACTGAAAGACAGAGTGACTCACCATCCTAAGAGCCACAACATTAAGTCTGAAATGAAAATACACTTTTGGGTTAGCAACAGCTTACACACCATTACAAATGCACAATACCTCTATGCAGTGTTGTTTCTTTCTGCCTTATCAAACAAGAATGACTCAGTTTGTACTCCTGTTATTCCTTCTCACCCCCAGCTTCTTTTTCCGAGCTTCTCCTTCTGGCGTTATCCATCGGGGGCGGTATCGCGGCTGTGGTCATCCTCCTCATCATCTTTGTGTCCTGCAGGCGGTGCAAGAAGAAAACACTGAGACAGCTGGAAGGGAACGAGGAGGCTCCTCACAGAGAGAGAAAAGACCCCACTGTGTGGTAAGACCATGAGAAAGACAGAGGGAGAGGATGAGGGGATAGAGAGAGGAACAGAAGAATCATCCACTTCCTCTCTCACTCTCCATCTAAATCTGGGGATCAGGTTGTGTGGTGCTCCTTCTTAGGGCCTGGGGCTCTTTTCCTACTGGACGTTTCACTTCCTTCTTCCTCTGCAACCCCAGTCTTTGGATCCCAAACCTGGACTAGGTTATGAACAGCTTTAAAAAAAACAGAGATACATTGAGAATGTGCCTTTGTAGATACAGAGCTTTAGCCAGACCTGTGTAGCTTTTATGATATCACCATGTGCCTTTCATTTCTGAAAAGAAACACATTCTTTATCATGTTTTTCTGCTCAGCTAAATGGGCTTCCAAACACATTTCCTGTTTAGAGTAAATGTTTTGATGATTTAGAGGTCGAACAATGGTCTATTCCTGCTGTTAACTTCCCTACTAATACATTTCAAACCCCAACATATTATGCCTTACAAGCTGCATGTTTGATATATTGTTTCAAGAAACAATAGAAACTGTGGAACAATGAATGAGCAGCTTTCTTACCTCGAGTGACATTTTGTTTTTATTACAAGATTTTGAGAAACCTTTTGAAACGCCATACATTTCAAAGATTTGTATCAGTTCATCCGATCCACTTGACTGCGGTTTTCTGAATCAACAGAAGGATGCAGGTATACATTGTGTTCTGTTTCACTGTAGTTACATTGCTCTGTTTTCTGTGATCTGTTGTGTTTTTGCCCTGATGAATGATCATGGTGCTATCAAATAACCAAAACCTAATGGAAAGCCCTTGTTGGAAACAGACATTTCACAAAGTGCCTTTATAACAAATTGTACCAATATCAATTTTTTATTTTGTCAAGTGGCAAACGTTTTTTATTGGGCAGAAACCTCTCTTGTGGCCAATTGTCTGTTTTAAACATGAGCTGATATGAGTCTTTTTGTCAAACTTTTTTTTGTTCTGGGCATGTGGGACTTCTTTGTTTCTCTTGGGTTTTCAGATCTCTCTGTAATAGGCATCCTAACTATCACTATCAAAACTGTGTTACTGTTTTGAAACTCACTGGATTCAACCAGACTTTAAATTCCAAGCTCCTCAAAGAAACATGTTCAACTTTGCTCTCATCTTGGTCGATCAGTTTTATTCAGACTTCAAACCGAGTCCTCCATTGAAAAACTTGGCAAAGGAAGGAAATAGTTTTACCCCAATCAGATGCAGATGGGTAAACAACGATTTAGATCCAGACTTTTCTCCCAAATGAGAACAACCTAACCCTGTGTGACCCCTAACCCATTGTCCCTGGTGCTGTGTTTGTGTTGTCTTTGTCCCCGTTCTTTGACTTATGCACATGCATTGCCATAAATAATTCATGGATGTGTCATGCATGAATTAATATCTTGCTCTGTGTATGTGTGTGCGTCTGCTCTGTTGCTCCCCCTGGTGCATGTCTCCCTCTTTCCGCTGTATCTGCGTTTGTGCACCAGCCATCCAGGGAGGGCCCTCCACCTCTACCTATCAGAGACGTCCATGGAGATTGACAGTTCAGATGGCATGATTTCAGAAGCCAGCACCAATGACCCCAGCTCCTCAGAGAGTGAGGGCCCAAGCTCAGACGAAGAGGAAGATGATGATGACGACGACTGAGGATGTGGGGAAAAACAGTGCGACAGAAACACTTCAACTATCCAGGAGGCTCGCTGGTTGGATTCCCAGATGGCACCCATGGATTACGTACCATGGTTCTGCTGATTGGAGAATAGATGGAGAGAGCGCTTCTGCTGAGTCAAAAATGAGCCAACGGAAAGAAAGTTCTGTTTGTAAGTTTCTGAATAAAAACAAAGAGATTACAGCGATAAAGATCAAAGCTTTGAAAGAGTAGCTTCACTTTTAAGAGAGCCCAGAAATCATGAAGCTGGCTTGGCAACTGTCCTGAAGGGAAAACAGGCCGACTGTTTGTTTCAGACATGGCTGGTGCTAAGTTTAGGTAGTCACTAGCAAAATAAGCCGCAGCATGCAACTGGAGGAAGTAAGAATGACGTTTTTCTGCCACGATGAGCCACATGACACCTTTACATTTTTGAAGGTGCCATTTTGCACACCATTTTTGGATATGACTTTTAAGTCTTTGGAGACCAGTGTGAAGAATTTAGTGCCATCTAGTGGTGAGGTTGTCGATTGCATCTAATTGATACCCCTCTGCTCACAAATCCGTTTCCAAGCGTTTCAGAAAAACTACGTTCTTGTAAGGGAAAGTAAAAATGCAAAAAGCCCTCTCTAGAGTCAGTGTTTAGTTTGTTGAAAACTGGCAGTGAAGCACTCATTCTCATTCTACACCATCAAAATCATGGTTATAAATACTTAATAAATCCCCCCATATCCTACACAATGGCCCCTTTAAAAGACAATATAAAATAGTCACAAAACACAATGGGTCTTGCATTAAAGTCTGTTAACCACACCCATCCTCGTACCTGCCAGTTCCAGATAACTTGTTAAAAGTAGTTTTATCTGCCAACAGTAGGCCTATTAGACTACTTGGATAAAAGAGCATAACTGTGATGTTGCTTTCAGGTCTGAAGGCCAAATACTTGATCAGATAACATAGCACCTGTTCTTGGTGTTTATGCGAGTGCACAGTCAGATCTGAAAACCCTTTGATTGCAAAGTGTCCTTGAGAGCCTGTTTTTTCTCCTTACATCTGTGAATGCATCACATCTACTAACAAATTAAAGTAACACTTGTATTTCTTTCTTTTTATGACAAAATGTTATATTGTTATACTGAGCAATGTTTTTAATTGTTTTAGATAATGCCATAAGTATTTTATAACGTTGTTTAAATGTCACTGTATGTGTGTTATAGAGCTTTTATATATAAAAACGATTTTCTTAATAAAATGCCTTTACATTTTTTATTGGGTCAAGTAAAATGTTACCACTCAAAGGTGATCCTGGCTGACTCTAGCTGGCTCATGGGACAAATAATCGCACATAACGTGGATAGATTTGATATAACTCATCCATTATGTAAGAGAGGAATCTTATGATCCATCATTTATTATGCAGCATTATCTTTTATGCACTGCATTCAGTTGTATGTGTTTTATAGTCGGTCTTTCTGCAGAGCCCTTCCCTTGTTTACCTGCAAGCACTAATGCAGTGAATCATTTACAGTAATTAGTTTCAGGTCCAAAATGCTTCTGTGACTGCAGTCTGGGTTTGCTTGTTTGTTGGTTGGGATTGTTCATGACTATGAATATGTTAGCCTATGTCTTTGTGTGAGTGTGAGTGTGATTGTGGGCCTATTTGTGTGCATTGATCAAAGTCTATTCCTGTGGGTGCAGCTTTAGTTACTGACTGACAGACCTAAAGTGTGTGTGTGTGTGTGTGTGTGTGTGTGTGTGTGTGTGTGTGTGTGTGTGTGTGTGTGTGTGTGTGTGTGTGTGTGTGTGTGTGTGTGTGTGTGTGTGTGAGAGAGTATAGGGGCAGAGCATGGTTGACTAACGTTTGAAAAAAAAGAGACAGGGTGGGCGGAAAACCAAGTCTGTTTACCCAAGCTAAATAATTACATTTTGTTGTAGAGAAAGGCCACTAATATTGAACAGATAAAACAACAGTAGGGTCTCGAGATAATCTTGTTCGTATCAACAAAGTGGCTGTTAATTACTCTGGCAGAGCCTAGACATTGGCCTCGAATTAATGTGGCACCTTAGTAATCAATTGTGGTGTGAGGACATACATATGTGAAGGGCTTATTTTGTGAGGGATTATCAATTCAAGTTTCTTAAGTTTAAAAACATTATGACACAGTTAACATACAGTATATGGAAAACTGATACCTATGTGACAAATAAATGTGAAGCACTGCCTAGAAATAGAATAATCTAATCATCAGATCTTTGCATGATGAATGCAGTAGCCTACAACACACAGAACATTGGGGGTTTCCAAAATGAAAAGGTGGCAAAGTAGAACATAAAGAGGAAATAAACATTTGACACAGCTTAGCGATCATCTGGAACACCAGGCAGATATTACCTCTTGTTCCCAACACATCACATTCCTTCTGCTTATACAATGGCCTGAAAACTTTTAATTTGGACATACTTTTTAGCATCAATATCCATCTATCTTGCTGTTGCATCTAATGATAATACCAGGCTTTGCGAACCATGCTCTGGGCAAGGTGTTCTCAACCATTCCTTGTGCATGACTCACTTAATAAGCCATTCTCTACCACAAACAAGTTTATAACTGCAACTCACATTAATCAGTTTTTTTAAGAACAGAATAATGTTGGGTTTGTTTTATAAAGGAAGTAAAGCTTGTGAGCAGTCTTCACTAATGAGGAAATGAAGTCTGTCTTTCTTACTCCCTCTCAGACTCAGTTTCTGTCTTGCTTCATCTCTCACTCTTTTCAGTCTGCATTCCACACCTTAGGATGGGTTGTCCACAGTGTTGTGGAGAGGCACTAAATACCTTTACACACACTCACTTGTTTGCTCACACACAAACGCACAGGCTTGGCATGACAGGTTGCTACAAAACTAATTACCTTACAAGCATGTAGCAGGATGGAATGTCACACTGTGACTTGTCAGATGTCCCCACCCACACACACCTATACGCATAATCCATAACATCTAAAGGTATTTGCCCTAGTGTATTGAATAGATTAGGGCCTCCTATAGATAGTGGCTCAAGTGTTAGGCTGTCATACTTGTCTGTGACAGCCATGAGAAAAGTGTATTTGTATGTGAAACCTTTAAAATACCCCCTGTGTATTGGAGAGTTGAAGATACAACTGTTCATCAACTATTCAGTGCAAAGTGTGCATTTAAATTAATAAAAAGACTCTCATACTCTATTTTTTGGCTGAAGGATAATGGTTGCATTCACCTTCTGGCCCCAACAATTTAAATCACCTGTATTAGTCCCCTCCAGTGTTGACAACAGAATAACAGGGCTATTGTTGACCAGATAAAGTGGGGTGAGCCTTCATTGTGACTGAGATGATTTCAGCTGAAACTGAGACATCTCTACTGTAACCAGACAGAGAGCCCCTGTATTCACACACACAATACATAACACAATGTGTGTGGGTGTGTGAACTACCCAGGTAAGAGGCATTAGATGTTATCTTCCAATAGGGGATAGTCTCTATCAAACTCCAGCAGAGTATAGTTACATACAATACAACACTGCTAAATGCAGAATTTGTGAACACTCCCGTGTAATTTAAGTCCTTTGACTCAGCATGTTTTCAAAAAAGGAAGTGGTATCCCTTCCTGAGTGTGGGAAATGTTAAATAATATTGTTAACAGATACATTACACACAATGCGCTGTGTGAATGGATGCAGGGAGGAGCAAGCCTGTGCCAACTCCCTTTAAATTCCCAGCATCCAAAGAGATTTGCAATAAATGTTGCCGAACATAAACACAAAGTACAGCCAGGTAAGAGCATGAAGCAACAACGCTTTGCACATTACTTCACCCTTCTATTAAGAAATTGCTGAATGTCTGTGAGAGGTAATAAAACATGGATTTGACCATCATTTCCTCTTTATTATGCCTGTTTCCATCTGTTCGTGCCCTTTCTCACAGTAATGATGTACATGGTCTGCAGTAAATTAGAAGTTAGTCAGGCAGTTATTCACATAAAGTTATTAATATCCATTTCGTGAGAACCCATTTTTCTTTCACATTCCCTTATTGCAGAGCCTTTGGAAAAGTGTTGGTAATCAAGTTAGGGTGCAATGTTTACCATGAATATTATGCATTTTTCTAATCAACTATACGTGAAACTATTTTGCCATCCAATTAGATTTTTATCAGAGTACAGTATTATTTGCTGAGAAAAAGTTTTTTCTTATGGCGCCATGCTTTTGTGAATAAAACTCGCTATATGGTTTTTAATTCTGGTGGACACTGAATCTGATCGTCACACATATCTGATACATAGCCTACACCAGGACTATTCAATTAGTTTGGAATGGGGGCCGGTTGATGAAAATTATCCAAAGCAAGGGGCCGGGAAAAAGATGGCTTGAAATATGAGCAATCATATTAAGAGCTTCAGATACAGTAAATACTACAACAGCATAGTGGAGTGCATATATTGTGTTTAATTAAATCAAACAACATAGCCCCAAGGCCTTTATAGATCTAAATGGCAAGTTCAGAACTCAGTAGGCCTACATGTGAAGCAGATTTAACCATCAACATCATTTAATTTGATTTAATTTAGGTGAAATGATCTAATAATTCACGCAGACATGCAATACATGACAGGAGTTGTCACTACAGTAGCTATAGGTGGGTTCGAAACCCGAGCCCGCCGAAGTTTTCAGGCAATGTCTTCCCCTCTATCTCTCAATTTAACACCCTCTCTGGAATAAAGGCACTCTGGCCCAAAAGAAAAAAATCTTGAAAAAAATCAAATCAATATTTGATTACTTTTTAACGTTATACTCAAAGGGCCAGTAAATATTACCCCGGGGCCGGATTTGGCCCGCGGGCCGCCAATTGAATAGCCCTGGACAGTGCATTTGAGGGCGCAGAGTAGCTGATGATTCTCAGCCTATATTCTCTGATGTGCCCTGCAATGAAATTAGGTTACACAAGACAACTACAGCTTCTCTGTTGTCAGGATGGAAGAAACGCTCCTGGCAGACCATATGGAAGTAAAGATGTAAGTACAAATCCAGACCAAAAAAAGGCAAATTCAACTTCAAACGGACTCTGTATAAACATGAAGTGGAGAGATAAAGCATTACACCAGAGTAAAACTGAACCGGCAAAGGCTAGAAAAACAAATAACTTCTCCCATTAGAGATAATCACAACAGTAAAGACAGGAGATTGGACTGGGATAGAGGAGTAATATGCCTAAAAATAGCAGGAGAGTCCCACAAGAGCATCGGTGGTTTTATGGAATAGCTGGCCTGGGAGATAAGACTGACGACTGGGCCTCAACTCAAAGGGATAAGCAGGGCCGGCTCAAGACGAGATTTTAGCTGGCGCCCCCCCAGCCAGAGGATCGTACAATAGAAAAGATAAAGATTAATTGAGTATCCAAGGAATACACAATGGAATGGGGGATGGACGTCACATCCTCAAGGGGGGTATGCCCCCCCGGGAAGAAATGTTTGAACATTTTAAAAGTAAAATGCTTCAATCTGGTGCACTTTGAGCAGAATTACTAGAGACTAGATCTAGGGGGTACAACTCTAAACACCCATATGAAAAAGATTGGTTTACATTTGAATAATCAAATAAGTATGTGAACATAACCAATAACCCATAGCCAATAACAAATACATTTAACTTATTTTATTTTTGTTGTTCATTTATATCTTATTTTACTTAGTTAACATTTTTTTATTTATGCATATTTTTTTATCTCTCCAGTTTTAAAGGATATTCTTGGTTTACTGTCCTATAGTATACATTGAAATGATTTCAAATCTGTTTTTATTTATCCTAATAATTATAAAGGAGTGCCTTGGAAATATGTGTTTACATAAATTGTGATCAAAACGTTTGAGACCCACTGAGATAACTTAGACTAAAGTGAACTATCTAAACCATACTTGCCAACCTTGAGACCTCAGAAATCGGGAGCATTTCCAAAACCACCGCGGGGGTGGGGGGGGGGGGGGGGGGGGGGGGGGGGGGGGGGGGGGGGGGGGGGGGGGGGTGGGGGGGGGTGCTAGTGGATCGCCGGAGCTGTATTAGATGCTTATTGTAGTTGTAAGTGCACTGCCTTGCGGCCTGTAGCACCATATGTGTGGGCTGGACCTGTATTTTACAGGAAAGGAGTGAGCAGAGGGTAGAATTGTCTATTCTTGTTCTGTTTGCTGTGACTATCTTCCTCACCCTCTCAGACTTTCAGTTGCGCACGCTACGCTACCATGGAAACCAAACAATGGTGTAGCTGTATTAAAGTCCGAGTGGAAACAGTCCTGAGTAAATCTGATTTTGTCAGAAATCGGGAGAAATGCGGGAGAAATATGACCCCGGGAGGAAACCGGGAGAGGGCAATGAAATCGGGAGTCTCCCGCGAAAATCGGGAGGGTTGGCAAGTATGATCTAAACACTCAGCGTCCTTTACCTCACTGAGCTGTAGTTATCAGCCTCTCAGTCTGACTGGAGAGGACTCTCCCTCCACATTATTGTATAAACATCTTATTCTTATATCCGTTAGAGCAGCTAGAACCAGATTCGCAACAGCGCCGGTGCCGGTGCGCCCTTCCCTCTCTCCCTCGCTCGCTCCCACGCTCGCACTTTGGCTGTGAGCTGCGGCCGCCAGATAAGCCAACATCCCCCATTTTCATCACTTACAGCGCCCATCGTACAGGCAAATGAAAAGTGTAACCGGGATGAAAAGGGAGTTACATTTACTTAATTATGAATGTTGTTACATCAAGGCCGAAAATTAGGATGAGCACCAACGGTCAAAAATGTTTTTTTTCCCTCCCAGAGCTGTCAGCGCAGCGCCTCCCCAGATCTGGCGCCCTACGGTCCGGCCCTGGTTATAAGAGAGAATTGACATGTGAGCAGAGAATATGGTTCAGGTTTCACTATGATTTAATTTTTGGGTTGACAGCATATGCATTTCAAAGATTGTGTTTCATCTACAGTCCCATGCTAATGCTCTCATTCTCATGATCATCATCATTTTGTTAGGCAAACTAACCAACTCATAAATATTATTTTCAGAATTGGTTTAATTTCTTCATACAAAAATCAAGCACAACTTTAATTAACCCCGCCCCCAATACCCAATTTAAATCAAATATACAGTTCCTCGGAAATCCAATTACATGTAAGGACTTAACATTTCCTGTAGGGCTTAGTTAGTACTTTTTTGTTGTTATTTTTTATTATTACCCCCCCACTGGCTCCTTTGGGACTTTGAATGACTATATATTTGTCAAAAAGGAAGCGTGTTTCTACACACATTGATTTGACACATTTATGGCTTTAAGCGTATTTTATTTCAATTGGGTATTAAAGTAGTCGAAAGATTATCCACCAACACATTGGTCAATCAGTCACTTCGAAAATTGTAATACGACATGTCAACTTTTATCCTCTCCCAGAGTAAGCATAAAAATAGGCTTGGTGTTGTTTCACTCCCGATGATTCACTTCCTGATACACCTGTTTGTCAGGTAGGCTACGTGAGCTCGTAGTGTGCAGCCGCAACGGAGACACTGAGTCATGACAAGATAGATAATGGACGGAACTTGGACTTTTTTTTCATCGTCATGCAAGTAAACCCGTTTTCACATATTAAAATGCGTCGACCTCGCCAAGGGAATACCGCTCTGAACGTTATTTTGTTGCTGTATTTGGGCGTTTTTTACGGTGAGTAAACAGGCCAGGGCTCCGCTTTCATGTCGCTGTGTTTCAACACTAGTTACAACACAGAGAAGCTCTTGTCTTTTTGTCTACGTCTGGTTTAGTGTTTGTTCTGCTAGTAGCTGTTTTATTTGTCGAAATAAGGCATTTGTACGGTTTGACTACCCTGTAACCTTAACACACTTAATAGTTGCTTACACGTTTCATTTTAAGGCCTACGTTAACACAACTTTTCAGCTCCGTAAACACTATCAGACACTATCAGACACAGCCTGCCAACGCTTTATTTGTAGGTGGTTATGGCAATTCCGCTGCTTGAGTCATGAATACATCAGACACAGCCTAAAACTAAATATTTTTTTTAAATGGACACAGAGCAGATTGACTTACCAGGAACATGTCGTTTGTATTAGCTTATCATGAAGTTGCAGTAGTGATCTCTCCCTCAAATTTCAAGTCATAAACGTTTGTCTGTTTTTCTGGGGGAAGTGGATCCAAATTGCCCATTTAAATCTTAATTCTAAATGTTAGGATAGCTGCCACTATAAATACAGAAACAGGCCATTGTAAAAACCAGGCTCAGAGGGATCCTGACAACTGGTATGCAGTAAGTTAAGAGCATTGTCTTTGTGCCAATTATATTACAAACATGGTTCTAAACTTTGGGTATAGTTGTTAGGTCACTCCTAACTTATCTCATGTTTTTCAGGGAATACAAATGGAAGAAATACTGCAAAAGCTGCTGTGTAACTTAATCAGAATATAGGCTACATACACATGTCGCAGCAGTTTGGTGTCATTATGGTTTGTCTTTATCTGATTATACTTGTACTTTTGGCTACATTTGTGCCCAGAGCACAGCGTCTGCCAGCTCAGGAAATACTCATGTTGTCAGTTCTTCCTGCCAGGGCCACAACTAGGGATGTATCACAACATTATCTCTTCCTTTTGACTTTTTACATTTTTTCTCTATTAAATGTCCAGACGTCTTGCAGAAACTAGGTGCCATCATCATCACAAATACTGATGAGCTACCACCTTTCTATCCCATCACTGATTTTGAGATGAATTCTATCTCCTCTTTGATTCCAGAGTGGTTCAGCTTTCAAGGATAATCTGCTGGATTTTCACTTTTATGAAGAGATAGCTTTGTTCCTGTGGCCCACCACAAGGTCTTTGTAGATAAATCAGGCTGAAAACCTGATATCTTGCAGATTATTTAGTATAAGATGAACTTTGTCCCTATCAAGGCGTTTGCAGTATCAGATGTAAACAGTGGTGAGATCAGACACATCAGCTGATAGATGCTCCTTGGAGAAAAGGCAAAATGCTTTAAAATATAGCCCTGTTTTATTTATTATGCCCCCAAAACAACTGTGTATTAATGTCACAAATGGAGTGTTGCCATGCAAATATATAAAGCCAGGTTTTCCATGATATATTCTTGATAAAGGCCAAAGGAACAGTGGTGGTTTTTAATGGTTATTTGTTTTCATTCAGCTAGCAGTGTGGCTATAGAGATGGCATTATGAGTTGGCCCAGACTGAAATGTCTCAACAAATGTTGGATGGATTGCTGTAGAAATTGCTACATAATATTAGAAGAGAGAATACATTTGAATTACTTTGTTGATTCACCAAATGTTTCTCCAGCTACAACAGCAGGTCAGTTTTCATTGATTCAGTGAAAAGCTTAATACCTACTAGGGAAGATTGGCATTCTATTTAGTACACACATTCATTGATTTCAGAGGGGAACCAAATTATGTATTCGTGCTCCACTGGCTTGGCCTTTAATGCCGCTATATGGGTGACCAGTTCTGGGTTTGAGTGTGGTTTTGGATGAATTGCAATGAAATTACCTACACATTGTGAAGTTCCCATGATGATACATTTAAGTGATGATCTCCTGATTATTTATAGTGGTGCCATTGGTGTGACACACATTATCTGCTAAAAATCAGCATGTCAGCATTGTCAATGTCAATATGCTGACATTTAGCTCTAAGCACAGCAGATACGAACATATCCGCTTGCATGGCTGTTAACCACAGTGTTTCCGAATGTTAAACTGGACTAATGGATCATGGCATAAATAACTGATATATATATTCATCAACATGTGCACTTCGGCCATAAATTCTGCCATTTATGAGGTAGAGGGGGATGATTTAATTACTTCGTCAATTTTTGGGGAATTTGTACTAGAAAAGCTATCCTGGCATTTTCAGATTCAACACCATATTAGAGTTTTAATGCAATATACAAATGAACCCAACACTTAACCATGAAAACAACTGATTCATGACTCAACACTGCAAAACATTTCAAGGTTTCTCTGAAAAGAAAGTGTCAGTATTTGGCTTTTGTTCATGGAGAAAGTTGAGAGTATAATTTGTTGCAGACATTGCTTTGGCTGCAGGTAACTGCAACTGCTATTTGTTATTTGTTATATTTCTTTAATGTTGGCTTTTAAACTTTGGAACTGTTGCATGGTTATTTTCAACCTTTGCATGATGTGATGACAATGAAACACATACAGCCACAGGGTATAGCTTTATTTAAACAATGTAGACAGATGTGTAGCAAATCTGACAGATACAACAAGAGAGGCTGGTGAGAATCTGTTTCAGTTCAGTGTCTATCATGAGGAATTTGCTGTGCTGACACTTTTATGCCACCACAATTTCTGTATAGTTGTAGATGCTGTCAGGATTTGTATTTGCTATTTAGCCTATGGTAAGTGAGTAAATGTCACACACACAATGTTTCCTCCTTTCTTTGTCTTTTGCGCTTCCAATCCCCTTCTTCTCATTTTTTTGGAATCCTCGGAATCGGCCATTTTAAAGTATATTCTCTTTTAATGTTGTCATGTTTGTCCACTGTGTCACTCTAACATCATCTTTTTCTTCTCCTTTTTCTGACATTTCACCTCCAGCCCCTTCTCTAGTCTCCTCCATCTCAGTGAGTACACCAGCAGAGCTCTATGCATCTAAAGGGGATACCGTCGCGTTGTCCTGCACTTTCACCTCCACCAGTAGGCCCACCAGTAAGATGACTGTGGACTGGTCTTATAGGCCCCAGAGTGGAGGGCCGCCACTGACAGTGAGTATATTTAAATTGTATAAATCTATATATTTTTCTTTCTTTCTGTGGCTGTACTGGATACAATACTGTCTAAAAAAGAGATGGAAACAATCAGTCAATTTCTTTTTTTTTAATGAATTCTAAAATATGATTATAGTCAATCTATTGTTTTGGTCATTTTTAAGCAAAACAATCAAAACTGGTTTCATTCTGTTAAATTGCATAACAGCAAAGAAAAGGCAGCAAATTAGAGAAACTGATCGTGTACAGTTTTTAAAAACCTTAACTTGAGGCACAAAGGGAAATTTGTTTTAAAAAACAAAACCAATTATACCACTTTCTTCCAAAAAACCTTGATAAATGGACTTTCCATTTTAAATACTTTCATCATGTCCCATTTTTTATCTCTACATTTAATGCAACAGATTGTCATGTAATTTAAAAGCTTCATGAAGTAATGCACAGTAAGATTAATCATATTGGTGGTATTGATTGTTTAAACTTGTCACAGTGAACTAACATGTTCTGACAATTTGTTTTACTATATAATGAATCAATTCATCAAGATAAGAGACACATTGGAGACTGTTCAACAATGAAAACAATTGTTAGTTTCAGCCCTTATCAGTTTTACCTGATATGTATACTGTATACTATTTGATCATCACAGAGCATGTTCATTGTACTTGTATGTGTCTTCAAAATGTCCTTTCTGTACAAACATGACTTGTTTGAATATCTGACTGCTTAATTTGCATTCTTGACCAGCTGTATGAGTGAACATTGATTTGCGATGTTCATGTACACCTGCATCCTGCAGAAAACTCTGGTTAGTCTCGGTTTCTATGTAAATACCGTGTGTACCAATTTGTTTGATTTATCAAGATCACTGTCGAGGTCCAAGTCTTATCCATCCACACATATGCAGAGCCTTTTGTCTCTTTTAACTGCCTCTCTGTGAAAGCCCAGCTGGTCAGCTACCATAATACCTCCAACTTCCTATGTGTTGGTCTCGTGGTCTTGTTCGAAATGCTTTCAGATGTATCCATCTCAACCCATAATTGCACTCAGTCCTCTAACCCTGCACCCTGTGACCAATCCACTAACAATCCACCACATAATTTAAGGAGTTCCATTGTAACTTGAAGATTGCCATCCAGTGTGGTTCTATGTAATTGCATTTGGACCATGGGAATCCATAGTGTGGTAGCTGCAACCCTATATGCCATCATTTCCTATAGGAGCACTCAGAGTTAAGTGGAGGCTAATGTTTTGTGGCTCCGCTGATATGGAGTGCTGTTGGTTTAGTCATTAAGATGCTGTTGTGTGGCCTAAAAGTGTGTAAGAGGGGGAGAAGAAGAAAAAAGTACATAGTACACATTGAGAGGTTGTTGTAGTGTGTTTGTGTTTGGCAGTCAGCACGATGCACAGGTAGTGGTTAAAAGCTGTGCCAACTGCTACGTAATACAAACCCATATTTTCTTGGACCAAGCCCAACAAGTTTGTTCACTTTATCACAGATAAATATTGTGTGGCATTATTTCTGACATGGCCCACAGAAGGAACCAAGTCTGGAAGTTTTTCATTTCTATTCCTTGGCCTTCATTTACTTTCCATCCAATTTCATTAGGCTTTTTGGCTGCTTGATTGGCCTGTGTGTCCCCAGTCGTATATCACACTGGGAAAGACCATGAATAAGCATGTAAAAGGTGCCATCAGAAAATATAATTTTGCTGCCAAAGCTTTAGTGTCAATCTGAACTGCAGTGCTTCAGTGACTTGCATAATTACCTCAGACCTGATGAGAATTAATTTAGTAGATTGGAGAAGAGAGGTTGAATGTTCAGTCAAATAATTGTGAAAGCTTATGGTAATTAGAGGAGTTGAATTCTGCTGAATAATGCTACAAATATATCAGTTAAGATGATCTGAAACTTCACTTAGGAACTGTTTCTAAATCTGTCAAGTAAGTGGAGGCTTCTGTCCAAATCATCATATAGATTTGTAGAATAATTGGGCTCAGTTTAATAGTCCAATATCCTTGGCTGTGTTGCCGCATCTGTCATGGGCTTAAAAGGATCTTTGTTTCCAGACTGAACTCACTGTTGAGAAATAGGTGACTTCAATCTGCTTTTGTGTAGGCTGAGCTCTGCCAAGTCATCAAATGATCAGCCAGGCCTACAGTCAGTCAGTCAGTCGGTCAGAGAAATGCAGCTCACAGACACACTGTCGTAAAACAATAAATCTATCAGTGATTGTTAAGGTGATTCTGTGTTTGCTTTTTTGCCTCAGTTTATTAAAAGGCCATACACACTTATCCATGTTGACATTGTTCTTAGATAGTAGGCTGTAAAATAATCTCTTCAAACTAGGCATGCATTTATTGGATGATCTTGATTTAGGGCTGCACCGTTACATGGCAAACAGTTGTAAAGGATTTTAACACTAAGATCCTTTACACACTGTATTCCTATGTGGAGACTTGATAATACAAACACAGATTCTACAGGATTAAATCATTATTATTTCCATCCTCCTTCCGATATTTTAATGTACAGATAGTTTTTAATACCCAGTATATAACATACAAACCTTGATGTCTATATTTACATTATCTTTAATTTAATTGTCAATTTGTTTGTCTCGGTATGCTCCGCTTAGGTTTAAGGTACACTATGTATAATTAGGGTTGCAAAATTCAGGGAATTTTCAAAGATGGAAACTTTCCATGGGAATTAACGGGAATTAACAGGAATTTATGGGAATAAACTGGCAATTTTCAAAATTGAAGGTTGGCTCTTCATAGGGAACTTAAATATAGTTGGGGAAAGTATATTTTAGCATAATCTTGACTAAAACAAACAGATGCCATTCAAGTACACTTGAATATCCATGCCATACTGTAGCACACTGCTTACTGCATGGCTATTGAGACCACACCCCCTACAGGCACTGTGCATTCCTCCATCACATGCACAGATGATTTCGAGAAGACTGGATCACACTTTTGAGCCCAAAGCACAAGAAAAATGAAGCCACATCTTTTCATTTAACATTTTGAATGCGACTTTGTGGGGATTTTTGGATGGGGGGGGTGCATTTTTGTTCATTTTTTAATGAGTGGGGTTGGGGGGGATGAGTAATATTTAACTCAACATTCTGTTGAAAATCTGTTGAAATGTCATGTTTTTGGTTTAATTTTGCATCGAATATTTCCAAAATTCCCCAGCTTAACTTCCCATGGAAACTTTCCGGAAACCTTCCGGAAATTTACCGGAAAGTTTCCGCCCCTTTGCAGCCCTATGTATTAGGGATGCTCCGATCGATCGGTCACCGATCGAGATCTGCCGATACTCACTCTCTACCGATCGATCGGTGCTCTCTAAACATGCCGATCGCGAGGGCCGATCGCATGACGTAACATATATGACACTTTTCTCTGTGCGCGGCAAAACAAGCTCGCCAAAATGGCTTCACCGGTCTGGCATTATTTTAAGGTGTCCGAAAAAGACAGTAAAATAGCGGTATGCAACGTGTGTGTGAAGCAGAAATCCTGCAGCTCCACCCGCTGTGACGGAGCGGTGAGCGGAGCGAAACACACAAGCTAACACACTTAGCTATTTTATCTACCTCTGGAACAAGCTAAACTAGTTATAAATATGTTTATTCTTCACTGTCGGCCTCACACATTACTGGATCAGCGAGCTGCATGAGACGATACTGACGGGCTGTCAGGAGAGGAAGAGCGGGGGAGAGAGAGGGGGAGGGAGAGAGAGAGAGAGAGGGAGAGAGAGGAAAAGAGAGCGCTTGCTCATTTCTCCCGTGTTATTATCCAAAGTGAATGTAAACTTGAATAATATACATAATTTGAATGTAATAATTAAGTTGATTGTTGTTTGTGGAAGCTCCAGTGAATGAGCCCCATTAACTGAGTTTTAAACATCACTTTAAATGGAAGATTTAAAGTGATGTTTAAATCTTCCATTTAGGCCCCGCCCACTCGATCGGATCGGCGATCGGTATCGGCAGATACTGATTCCGGCGATCGGCGATCGGCCCCAAAATTGGCGATCGGAGCATCCCTACTATGTATAATACATCATTATATATAGACTTACAGTATTCCAGCAACCTATACAAAATGGAACTTTCTTGTAAATTGGTGATTTTATGGCCATTTGTTGCATTTGTATCGTTGATCTCATTCTTGATATTTAGAAATACTTGCCAATATTGAGCAGATTTTGGCATTTGATATTGGCTGCAGTTAATTGCACGAGACTTGGAACGCTTTTTTATAGGGAGTAGAAAAATGTGATTAACTTGGCAGTTGTTGAGGAGGAGTCGATCACTCGGAATGGTGTGGATATAGATATTCATCCTGAGAGTGCCATGTAATATTAATTACGAAAATACTAAATAACATTGTGTTCATTGCAACATGTCAGACATTTTTTTTTTTTAAAGTTGGACCGAGAAAAATGTTTCAAATTTTTGAATAAAATCTCAAAAGGCTCAGCTCACAAAGTACTTTATATTACTGTTTCTTTAGATATAAAATAAATATCCTCATGTAGCATGTCTTGAAATGTTGAAACATAGCAAGTTTAGCAAAAACCTGGTGATTCTGTTGGTAGAATGTGAAGATAGTCACAGTGTGGCGTACTTAATGGCATTGGCTTTCTCACTGCTGCCCACAATGCAATATCCAGGAACTACCATGTATAGATGTAAACATTGAAGCAGTTGGGAAGAGGGTAAAAGGCCAATCATGTGACCTTCATTGTGCATTTAAAGAAGAATTTGGGTCCTTTTATTTACCAAAAAGAGAAAACCCAATTTAGTTTGTGTGTCTGCATCCCCTAATATGAAAGGAGCTGCATGAAATGGCTGGATGCAAAAACATCTGCAGTGTTCATAGAGGAAATCAATAACTCACTCTCTGCTGGGCTTTGAGAACACAGATGAAGGCCATGTAGCTCTGATCTTATCCTGCAAGTAATCTGAAAGCCTCTTAGTCTTCATGTTCCTTATCAGAGTCAAGCAGCTCGAGGCGAGGCGAGGCGAGGCGAGGCGAGGCGAGGCGAGGCGAGGCGAGGCGAGGCGAGGCGAGGCGAGGCGAAAAAAAGAATAAAATGGCATTTAAAATCAGTCATTAAAAAGCAAAGATAATAAAAGAAAAAATACATGGATAAAGGTTACAGTGCAGTTTAAGATGTGAATAGTTCAATTAAAAGCAGCGGCAAAAAGAAAAGTCTTCAGCCTGGATTTAAAAGTAGTCAGAGTTGCAGCGGACCAGCAGGTTTCTGGGAGTTTGTTCCAGATATTCGGAGCATAATAACTGAATGCTGCTTCTCCATGTTTAGTTCTGACTCTGGGGACAGAAAGCTGACCAGTCCCTGAAGACCTGAGAGTTCTGGATGGTTCATAATTTAGCAGGAGGTCAGACATGTATTTCGGGCCTAAACCATTCAAAGCTTTATAAACCAGCAGCAGTATTTTGAAATCAATTCTTTGACACACAGGAAGCCAGTGTAAGGACTTCAGAACAGGAGTGATGTGATCCACTTTCTTAGTGTTGGTGAGGACTCGAGCAGCGGCGTTCTGAATCAGCTGCAGCTTTCTAATAGATTTTTTTAGTGAGACCTCCAAAGACACCATTACAGTAGTCCAGTCTACTGAAGATAAAAGCATGGACAAGACAAAGTCTGTAGAGTAATGACTGGCCACTCGCATTACATTACTTTCCTTCAACTTAATGTGAGAGTCTATTTTATTGTCCATATGGTACATTGACTGCATTTAGATGCCACTTTTCCTGTCTTTAGACCCCTCAAGGCACTTTTTAATAAAACAAATTACCATCCATAAAGGTGGGACCTGCTTGACGTAACTAACGTATCTTTCTAAGGATCAACATGTTCACTGCAGCGGCATGGCTCGAAATGCAAATGATGAATGTATTCCCCATCAACCCCTCTGTTTCTTGCACCTACCCCAAATCACTTGTCAATGCCTGTTTGAGCCAATAGTTTTCACTTTGGGATTTGTTCTGTCCAAGTTTCTGGTTACTGGTGACTAACGTCGTCAATTAGCTTATTGCACACAAGCTCTTCTCTCTTAGTTTACTTTGTGACAAACATAAACTGTAGCTTTCCACATGTTCATCATCCCCCCTTCTCCACCCACACACTCAACACACTCACTCTCCGGATGTCATGTTGTGGAGAGGTCTGGGTCAGCTTCACGTGGGCGTAGCGACAAGATGGAGTTCTTCTGTTGAAAACAGAATGTGTTGTAAATGTTAAACTAAAAGGTAAATCAGTTTTGGAGACGCCACACACAAGTTCAGATTTTTATCTCTCAACAAGACTCGTGCACATACATTATTTTCCCGTCCTTGTGCTTGATGGGATTATTATTCTCGTTTCTAAGACTGAACAGGCAGCCCTCTTCACTCTGCTATCAACAATATTGCGGGAAGAAAATGTCCCCCCACCATCTGTCCAACCACCTGTTGCTGCAGACACTTTCCCTTAGGAGGGAAAATTATACGTTAGATTGATGAGTGATGATCCTTATTATGTGCTAGAGAAAATAAGCGATCTTTGAGTAATGGTTTATGAGCCATTCAGGTGAGGCTGCTATTAATGTATGAGAGGAGACTGTGGATAAAATATGAATAATTAATGGTACTTATCCAAACAACTCTCCTCTTTCTTTTTCCTCCTGGCAAATTATACTTATACTTATACAGTACTAGACTTAGATTACATTTTTAACACACTCTATTTGACCACACAATAAAACGTTTTTTCTTTGACCCCCCCCCTCCTAGTTTTTCCACTTCTCCTCACGGGCGTTTCTTCCGCCTGATGGTCAGTTTGCCGGTCGCATCCGGTGGGAGGGAACCCCAGCGCGTGGGGAAGCCTCCATCTCTCTGACCAACGCTACGTTAAATGATAATGGGACCTACACGTGCTCCGTTAGAAACCCTCCTGATGTCCACGGGTCTCCTACTTCATACACTGTACTCACTGTAACACCAAAAGGTAAGTGTGCATTTACACAAACAAATAACAGGCCCATTTCTTCACACAATGTCAGGATTCTTTAACTGCATATTTAGCCTTGTACAGTTACGGCTCGTCCACACAGCGGCGTGCGTTGAAAGCTTCACCATTCACTTTGAATGGGGTGACGTCACTTTTCGCCAAACTGCATTGTGGGAAGCGAAGCGGAGCTTTGCTGGCGTGGCTCGCTGCAAAAGTTGAGCAATGTTCAACTTTTGAAGCCTCGGCAGAAGCGTCAGCCAATCGAATCATATGCCAGTACAAGCTCTAGCCAATCAAACCGCTGCTTGTGTGTCAGGGGCGGGAGATTCATGTGATTGGTTGTTGGTCGAGTTTCAGACACGCCCGCCGGCAAGCTTCAACGCACGCCGCTGTGTGGACGGGCCGTTAGACTTCCTCCCGTTATGTGCTGATGTGGTGGCAGTTTATTTATCAAATGTGGATAAAGAAAGTTCAGTCAGTCGTACAGAGAGCATGCTGTCTGCAGAGTGAAAGACGCTGAATAGAGTTTGCGTTGCATATTTAAACACAGAGAGGAGAAAGGGAGAGTCAAGCTTGGCGATAATGAACGGAGCATTCTGGAAGTTAGGGAGGCAGTATCAGGAAGTTCTCAGTTCATCATCAAAGTTCGAAGATGAAGGTCCGACTGGTGGTGCACATAGATTGTAACTAACAACATCGCAACAAATCTTCTTAATAAGGACTTTTCCCAAGATTAGCAAAGACATGAAAGCCAGTTAATAGAGATAAACATTAGAAAGTAAGAATCAAACAATGATAATATTCAAATAAGTAAAATACTTTTCTATTACACTGATTAAATCCATGTAACATCATTAAGAAAATATGGACTCTTATGACTCCATCTAGATTCTTCCATGTGTAATCAACTTCTTTTCTTCTCCGATACGTTTGAATCCTTTTTACTGCTTATCCTTACTTCACCTCAGGCATCTGGATTGGACTTTTCTCACATAAATCATATACTGTGTGTATATGCAGAGATGGGGCTGAGGAGAGGATGTTTAATTTTCCACTGCCCAGAACATATTTTTTAGATAGCAACCTCATCCAAACATCTCGTTGGTGTTTGTGTTAGCTGTCATGATGTTAGCTATATTGGCTCACGCATGTTACCCTCTGCTATCAACAGACTGGAGATTGTTATAGTGGAGGGACTGAATTCAACAGATCTAAGTTCCTGACTATTATAGACTGATCTCGCTGTTTTCCACCTAAAATTGTAGCTATAATTACACACAGAACCATTAAACTATTCAAAGATACATGACCACATGGATTGTTTGAAGCAATCGTTTGTTTTTGTACAACTTAACATTCAGGATAAAGCCCAATATCTAATGGGCTTTAGAGGTGCCCTCTGGTTTCACTGTTTATGCTAAGCTATGCTAATCAGCTGCTGGCTTCAGCTACAATTAACCGACGTGAGAGTGGTCTCAACATTCTCATCAAACTCCCTCCAAAAAAGGGAAAACCCATTTTTCCCCAAATGCTAACCTATTCATATCAGGAGAATTTTAAACTGATGATAGTTTTAGTTTTGTACTACTTATAAGTGCAGAGGGACACATGTAGAACTACTTCATTCTATGTGCTATCTATGGTGTACATGGGCAGTGCATGTCTTTACAATACTGAGTTTCTAAGTGGGCTTTGCATGACGTCACGTGTATGTGTGGTCATGCAAACAACTTGTTAATGTGTTTCTAAAGACCTCCCCTCCTCCTCCACAGTGGCCAGCATTCGCTTCTCTGATGTTGCGGTCCTCCTCGCTTTTGTCCTCCTCCCCTCCACCATCGTCACCCTCATTCTGATTGCTCGGATTCTATGTCCCAAGAAAAAGCGCAACCAATCGAAGGCCAACAGATCGCCCATAGAGGTCACAGAGGGGTGAGTGGATTTATTTAACCAATCACTGCTGTGGGTCCCCTGGGGGTAATGGTGGTTACTGCAGGCTTTGATGGTTATAAATATGCTGCTGAATTGCTAATTTAATGAAGGTTAAACAATAATTTCCTTTTAAGTTAACGGTTGGATTTTGGTTGATATTCTGGTTGTAGAAAACAGGGTTAGGGTTCTACAGTTCTACCGTTTTTTTTTAGGGTTAGGGAAGGGAATACAGGAAGATAAATGCCTGTGCTACTCTGTACATACATGTTTCACAGATTGCATACAATGACATGGACATTATGTAAACACTCAGGGACAACTCCAGTTCCTTTGTTTTTGATAATAAAAAAAAAAGACTGTATCATTTTTCTCTGTACATTAATTATTAATTGTGTATTGATTATGGAGCAGAGAGAAAAGAATGCCAGAAACTAATTTGTGCGGAGGATATATAATTTCTTTCCTTAACTGGACCAAATAATTTCCATGTTTTTAATTAATATGTGCATCCAAGATAGTGATTTGAGGCATCGCAATAATTAAATCGTTCCAATGTTTTAGTTAATTTGTGCGCACACAATTCGTGTTAATAAAGAAAGATGGCACGGCACACTCTGCTGCAGTCTCTAAGTGATGTTGTGCACTATCGTGTCCCAATTACACTCAGCAGATATTAGCTATAGAGAAACCAGCGTCAGAGTATTGTAAAAACAATACAGAACCCCATATGCTTATAAAAGTGCTGTGTTGATTAATTATTGGAAATACATCAACAGGTGTATACTTACTTTAAACCCCTCACTCTTGTTATGACTCTCATGACTGTCTATTCCTGCCAGGCTGTCTCCATCCTAAATAACGGTTCGTCAGGACACACTCGCACTTTTGGAAACCTGTATACACTTTTCCTGAGAGGAATACGATCATTCCTACCCGGTCCTCTGGCTCGTTACAGCCACACATCTACCTGTATTGAAATGTGGAGCTCCAGGGTACATTTTTGCCAGCATTGTTTAAAAAAAGATGACTCGTGCGCATCTGTTACCTCGTGTTTAAGGTGGAGACAACCAGTAAAAGAATGGCAGGCATATATGGTCCCGAGAGAGTAGTAGATGGACCGAGACGTGTTACTGATGTCACGCCTGTTGATGTGCAGAAGGCATAAAGACATGACATGTTTGTTGTTGTGAATGCAAGCCCAGGGTGATTCTGTAGTTATTTTACACTGTGGTGGTTACACAATATTTAACCAGCAGATCTGCCATGGGTAATTGCCTTGACAGCGCACTCCTGGATCACTCCACTTAGAGACTGCAGCAGTGCAGAAGGGTGAGCTCTCTGCGTATCCACTCACCTTGAGCAAACAAATTAACTAAACCGTGGGAAGTTATTTTATTAAATAAGGATAGCAGTTCAATCTAGTGTGTACAAATTAGTAAATTGTGGCCTTGCTTCATGTCTTATCTGCAGAACCTTACCATTGTTCTCTTTATTTGGGAGTTCCCTAATGTACAATAAGAAGACCCTCTTTACAGTGAAATGTCCATAAATGCAGCAGTATCATTGTACTGTCTGTCCTGTCAAGCGTTAGATGACACTATTCCGAAGTAAAAATGATTTAAATCCTTGTTTTTTGTGTGTTAATCTGTCAAAACGATGAGCAGTAACCTGATATGTTTGCATATATATGTAGAGTATAATCTAAAAAAGGTGTGATATTGTAATGACTAACCATCTTTGCGGTCCATTCTACATTCATCAGAGAGGAGTATGGCGTCCACCCGCCACCCAAAGAAAAGAAGGCCTCATGCTGTGACCTATATATGATGGTACAGTAGAGAACATTTCACTATACGACACTGTCTTGCAACCCATAAATAACTAAATGAGACATGTCTGCCAGATCCATTTCACGTTTAATTTTACATGCCCTCCATGTTCTGTCTACGGGACTTGAGGGTTTATGAAATATTGATCTTTCCATTGGAGTTGTTTTCTGTCTGGGTCTGTGTGAAGCTTCATCTGACTGTCTGGTTTTTCTGGTCTGTCCAGGACTCTGAGGATGAAGAAGGCTATTACGAGCTAAAAAAGAGGCCTCCTACGGATGAAGGCTATGCTGAGTCTCAGTGCTAGAGAACCCTGCAGGCTGCGAGATGTTACTGTAACATCTAAACCTTCTGGTGCCTTGCATATGGGAAACACTGAAGAGAAATAAATGCTGGATTTCCTTTGCCACAGTTAGTCGTTTGGTGACTTTTTGTGGTGACACCTTTGGAATAATACTTGTATTTTTGTCTTAATGATGCATCTCCAGCATCACATTAAGACTAGACATGATGCCATTAATTTCATTGACCTGTTGCCTACAAGTTTCTACATTTTCAAGGCCATGCAAGAGGTCTTACTTTCTAATTTTAGGGCTTGTAGTCTTGATGACACATTATTTGTTTCTTATGGTATTCGCTATACCAACCGACCCTGTCTATGCAAACACAAACACACAGGGGAGCACTATATGTATTTGTATATCTTAATATGAGTCACTTTCTTATTGTGAAGGAGCTAGATGCATTTATTTTGTAATGTATTGTCTGTCAGAGCAGCTGTATGACGTCTGTCAATGTCTTTGTTGAGCTATAGTGGAACATTTCTGTTATATCTTAAATATTTGGATAGAAAATAAATGGTTTGATTTGTGTAAACTGCGACCACCTAATCATATTTATGCAGTATATTGTATATACAGTATATTTCCTATATTATCAGTGTCTGTACATTACTGTCCAACATTCTTATTTCAACACCAGCAGTTAATGTTTGTCACTGTACTGCTCAGTTTATTTTACGGGACGTCTGAGTTTGGATGTGGTCATTATGATGTAACTGTCTTTGTTTTAGATGCACCGCTTTGCTTTGTCAATTAATTTTTTTGCAACAATATTCGCCTAAATAAATATTTTAGGAACTGGCTTTGTGAGGGGATGAACATGGCTTAAATAAGAAAATGTAGGTTTTCTTCTAGCAAATTCATAATAATCTGTTTATTAGAGTATATCTATCGCCGTTTGCTAACATACTTTGTTAGTAAAGCTTAGAGCATAAGGCCATCGTGTTTTCCTCTTCTCTCTTTGTTTTGTCTGTTGCAGTATTCATGAATGTTTCTTGAATATTCCTTCAAAAACTCTAAGGACAGGATTGAGTGTCAGACCTTCACTCACAAATAGTGGCAGCATCTGTTTCATCCACAAAGTCGTGGGACTCGAGGGTTATAAAAATACCTAATAAAAACAAGCCAATGAAAAATACAGAAAACGATAAGTCGTCATTCTGTCTCTTATTTTTTCCATTTCTCATTCAGCACCATTCATGCCCTCTAGGTTTCAATAATTCACACACTGCTATGGCGAAACAATTATCATTCCTGCTTCATCTGAACTACCATGGCAACAGCTTACTCATGTCAGCCAAGGAAAAAAAAGATTTAAATATTGAAGAAAGAAAATATGCAGCTGACTGCCTGGACTCACATTTCTAGAGATTTCAGATGTCCTAGTCCCCAGGTGGATGGGATAGCCTAATATCATCACTGCCAATTAGCATGAGTCACATTTATAGATTTACTATTCCAACTGAAATCTACTAAATTTGATTAAGCCAATCATTTTGTGAAACATTTTTCTTTATCAACCTAGTATACAGTATCTCTCTGTTAAGCAGAGGGGATGATCAAATGCTACTGTTGGTGAATTGCTGTAGAGTTGCCATATTTATCCACATTTATTTCAGTTGTCTGGATTTGTTATGGCGGAAGTCTTGGTTTCCAGGAAATGTTGGTGCACTCTCGTCTCAAACTCTATTACACAGCAGCAGGAGGAGGCCAGACCCAGCAATAATGACCTCCTCTGCCATTAAAGGTCTGCTGATAAAGGATGTCAACGTGTGCATAATACCTAGGTAAGTATATATTTCGATTAAAGGACATCAAGTTTCATAAGTTGATTTTTTCTGGTCCTTGAGTTTGCTTGTTTTTAAGGCAACACGTTAGTGGTTGCCAGTATGAACCAATTTCTTACATAGCCCACTAGTTCCCAATTTGTCTTACTTACTCCACATGGATCCACATCTGTTACAGGAATACTATTTTTTTTTTTAAGGGATTTGAGCCAAAAACGCTGGGGACCACTGCCCTAACCAAACAAAATCCCTAGTTCTAAAAACATACTCGAGAAAATTGCAATTTAAATCACACGTTTGAGATTATTTATGTATGCATTAGTTGATTATAAATACAAGACAACACAATCTATTATGAAACCAACTTACCTTACACTGTTTGTGATTCTAATTATTTTCTGTTTATGCCATAATGTTCTTTCAAAAAAAGAAAGAGAAAAAAGATATAAGAAGAAAGTTCTTAGTCAGCATACTTTACTCCGAGTCAGTGTATTGTGTCTTCAAGAACACCTGTGTGACATTTTGTGAGTGCTGCTGTGTCAGATTCAGGAGTCACGTCCCAGCGAAGGATTCGACACCTGGTGCACTTTTGTTTCATGACAGCAGATGGGAAAACCTTTGATTTTCATCCCCTGGGTCATTGTCCTCTGCTGTATCAGATCATACGGAGGGGCGAGAGGAAGGAAAGGTGGTGAGTAACTAAAGTGATTTTAAAAGTTGTTTATGGCTATACAAAAAGCAGTGAGCATTAGGCACCTGACCGTTCTTATTAAATAAATAACAACTTGCTGTTGTTCTCAACATTATTTTAGGCAGGAATACATTTATGAATATTTTATACAATTTGTAGCAAAGTCTTTTTAAGGGGGAGATATTATTGAAAGATGCATGCAACGCCACTATGTTTGATTTTGAATGTAGATTTAAGCTATTCATTATTTTCCAGATCTAAAGCATGTTGTTTTTACCGGAAATCAAATGATCATATATGATCATTTGCTATCATATAATGGTGATAGATAGCACACTTTGTATTTAGCTTTTCCCATCATTTTTCAAGATAATTTGCTGTTTGTAGATTGCATGTTAATCTCATTGTTTTTCATAGATACAGTGACCTTTCACGCTGCAAATGAGGATCTTAATCACTGTCATCTGAAAGGACAGACTGCATTGTTGATGTTCATTGCAGCTAACAACAGCCTGATACAAAGGTGCACAAGGAGAGACTTGATACAAAATAGAATTGTCTTATATACTTTAGCACTTAAACGAATGGAGAACAAAATAAGCAATGTGAGCGTTAGTGTATTAATCCTACAGGCTGTTCTTTTGCCAAGGAGGCACAGTTGTGTTGCTGGTGCAGCTATGCAACACCAACACTATGCTTTATGCTTTTTAAATAGTTTACACAAAGTAGGACAACCAACACTTCTCCAAAGGGATGAACAAATTCTCAGAAACAAAAAACCTGGCCTTAGCCGATGATGTGACAACGACTTGTGTATAATTGAAATGGAAAATACACAACACCTTGTAAACTGGGGGTCCCATTCTTCAGAATTAATGTTTATTAATAAACTACACTTTAATCACATACATGAATTTGTAACCACAGTATTGCGTTGCTGGAACATACCTCTTGACTGCTTCTCGATAATGACAAGACAGTGTGACATTATTGATCCCTGTGGTCAGTGCAGCAGCAGATTCAGCATGCTTAACACAGCAATCACATAACTGAACATAGATTAGCATATTAAGACGGCGAGATGAGGAGCAGCTCTTTTAGCCTGGGTCAGGCTGCTGGCCAACCTGCTGCATTTGCAGATGGATTGTTTTCAAAGACCATCCCACGCACTCTCGCTCTGTTTTTTTAGCTACCACCGCCCAGGCATCAGCTTGATTTTGCTCTGGGGGATTTAAGTGTTTGCTTTATTTTTCCTTTGGACAACCCCAATCATTTGTTATGCACACGTTGTTGTATTTCTCTCTTAAAGGACTTTTTGTTTCCAGTGTGGGGATTTGATTTTAAAGGGGACCTATCATGCAAAATGCACTTTTGTACGTCTTTTATACATGAATATGTGTCCCCGGTGTTCCAGGGAACTCACCAAGTGTCAGAAAACACAACCCTCTCTATTTTCCTCCATACCCAAATCTCTAAAAAAGGGGCTGTAACGGATCTGATAAAAACTGATCCAGATTTGAACACTGTCCTGACGTCAGGACCAGTGGCGGCCGGTCCATAGGGGCGCTAGGGGCGCCGCCCCACCTCTTCCCATATTGAAAAAAAAATAAATAAATAATAATTAAAATTAAAATAAAAAAAAAAAAAAATGTTTAAAAAAATATATATGTTTTTATTTTTATTTTTAATGAACAAGGTAAATATTATATAATTGGTATCAGTAAAATGTATAATCTACAATAAAATCTCGTTTAAAATTGTGTTACGATGTCTAAAGTTACTGATAAGTCACATGTTTCCTGCCTGGACTTGCCCATGCACCTTCTCTCGTCTGGGCGCTAAGAGAGGAGCCTTCAACCAGTGCAGCAGCAGCCACCAGCAGCTGACTGTTGCTATCTGTAACGTGTAAACTATGCCGCGAAAATATAATTTCAGCCAATCAGCGTCGTCAAAGATGACGGTCACCGGGCGCCAATGTCAGCGCCCAGTGCAGTCTGTGAGTAGTTTGGACAGTGACTCGTATCCGGTTGACGCAGTAGTTGATGAGGATGGCTTCGTGTGCAGGTGGAGTCTCCGGACCTCGGTCCCCGGCTAATTCTGTTCAAGAGCTAATCTCCAATCCTTTCGAAAGGAGAAGTTTGGCAGATAAATTGTTGCTTAAAGACCTTGCACCGGACCAACCCGATTTGAATATATCGCAGCAATCTCGTGAAAAAGACAACATTTATACACGAGGCTTAGTAGCTGGTACACAGGAAAGGCTTGGCTAGCTGGATGCAAACAGGTAAATGCTGTCTTTTGTTTCCCATGCTTGGATATCACTTTATATGTAGAGAGGAGGTTTCCCATGGTTGTTAGAAGTTTATTAATAAGTGGGCATTTATCACAGAAGTGATTGTTCTGTCTCCACGTTTGTTGCATTGTCTGTGATGTATTTTCCAACGGTTATAGCTCCTGTTCTGTCCCAGCAACACTACACGGTTTGCAGCTCCACCACATTTTTGGTTTATCTTCGGTGTCGCTTAAAATCTGCTTCCCATCGGACTAAAACCTCCACGTAATCTGAAGACAGATACTTGAAGTTATTTAAACCTTTTGCAAACTTTATGTTCTTTCTTGCTCTAGCCTTGCCAGTTACATTGTACATAACACATATATTATCATTATGCTAACTGGTTGTTCGTGTTAGACGATGTAGCTTTTTCATTTCTGAGTTATTGCTATATGTAAATAAGCCTGTTTGTAAATAATCCTCAGAGAAACAAAGAAAAAACACAATTTATGACATTTTGTGCTGTGGTTATTTTTTTAAATTGCATTTATTCACAGTTCAGTTTGAAATGCTGTAGTGACTTGTATTGAACCACTTAAATATTTATAATTAATGCTACTGAAAAGATGCTATTAATTTTATATCTCACATGCAGTTCACTGTAAAGCTACTTGGTGAAGGTGTTGGTTCATAAAACATGAACAGTTTTAAGAAAGAAAAAAACAGACCAGTTCTGAGAACACAAATTCCTGGTAAAGTAGTAGATGTTCAGGTTGATAAATAATATTTTCCACACTGAAGATTATGGAGGTATTGATCAGTCTTCTCATATTTTTAAGCCTCGATTTCTCCTTTCCCCCCCCCTCTAACATCACCAGAAGTCATCATTTAAGGGGTCATTTCTCGAAAAAAATTTCCGGGGGACCCCCCGGGTAGGTCACTTACGGTACGTCAAGAGCCCCACCAAAAAAAAAGACCACCGGCCGCCACTGGTCAGGACGGTGGCGCTACGGCTATTGGGCCAACTCCACCAATCAGGAGGAGACAGCCACGGCCATTGCCGTTCGAAAGCGCTAGAGACGCTGTAGTACATATATGCCAGGCCTGTAGGTGGTGCTATTCTCACAGAATCAGCCCTTGCAAAAACAGAGCTAACATTTTTCAAATTGAGCGAAATGAGGCATGGCTAAAATGCATGATCTGTTTGGTATTTTTTTTTTTTTTAAGTATAAATATGCCTTATATAGGTATGGTCCTACACTATATTATTAAAATATAGCATGATAGGTCCACTTTAAGTGATTTCCCCCTTGATGTTAATGACAAGAACCTTTTTTATCAGAAACATAATTTGTTGAAACAAAATAAATAATCAAATGAAGATGGGTCACAAAGGAA